AGAAAGCTATTGGAGAGTGCTAGTACTATAAAAAATAGGCTTCTTAGTCTAGATTTCGTTTTTTGACCAAGGAAGCTATCTCGGCGAATACGGGCTTATGGTTTGTATGGTGCTGCGCATGTCTCCCCGGATTCTCATACAAAAAAGGGTAGCTCCGAGCTGTTTTCCGGCGGGTTAACCCCGCAACACGAAAATCAAGCCAAACGCCCTTCCCACGTTATATGAGGAGAGCAGGTAAGGTCTTCGGATCTCAACTGCCTACTCAAACCAAATTGAATATTTGCGTGTTGGCATTCGCTTTGGGCAACCAAATTTGAATTGTTGGCGGGTGAATGGACTTTTTGGGGATTGTCGCGCTGTTGGGCTAAACCAGTTGCTTCATTGCGGTGGGTCGCCTCTCTGCGCAGCGCGATTTTCCGCCTGCCTCCCCGCGTCGGCGCCGCTTGCGACGCTGATGCTGGGGCTGGTGCACCAATTTTGGTACCATATTTGCAAGCCTTGTTACCCAGGTAGCGGTTGGAGACGTTTACTCTGCCCAGCGCGCCACCCGGGGCTCGGCGACTGTTGGCGTTTGTGCGGGCGGGCGAAAGCCTGTATATTGAAGTCGCGCCCTCTGGCGTCGCGCCCGCACTTGCGACTGACACCCGAAGTCCCGCTCACTACCATGAGCGGGCATCATTTGGGGTCTGTGGATGGTTGGCTTTGCCAAATTCTTCACCAGATCTTTGGGGGCAGCCCTGCTGGCTATCCGCGCTTCGTGCGCGTGAGTCGGCGTGGGTTTCCTCCTCTTGAGGCGCGTATGCAGTGGGCTTGTTACTGGCGGCAACGCCGGTCGGGCTCCGCTGCGGACCGCGCCTTGGGGAACTCAGTGGGGGCAATTGAAATGGTCGCCTGCAGCGATTGCGCCTTGCGCGCTGTCGAGGTGGGCGATTGGGGTTGCTTTGTTGCAATCCCCTTCTTGGTACAATCCGGCCGCTTCGGTGGCCTGGCCGCGGCGTTTCGGCGCTGTCGGCGTACGATTGTTACCTGGTTGATTCTGCCAGTAGTCATATGCTTGTCTCAAAGATTAAGCCATGCATGTCTAAGTATAAGCAATTATACCGTGAAACTGCGAATGGCTCATTAAATCAGTTATCGTTTATTTGATAATACCTTACTACTTGGATAACCGTGGTAATTCTAGAGCTAATACATGCTGAAAATCCCGACTTCGGAAGGGATGTGTTTATTAGATAAAAAACCAATGCCCTTCGGGGCTTTTTGGTGATTCATGATAACTTTACGGATCGCATAGCCTTGCGCTGGCGACGGTTCATTCAAATTTCTGCCCTATCAACTTTCGATGGTAAGGTATTGGCTTACCATGGTTTCAACGGGTAACGGGGAATTAGGGTTCGATTCCGGAGAGGGAGCCTGAGAAACGGCTACCACATCCAAGGAAGGCAGCAGGCGCGCAAATTACCCAATCCCGACACGGGGAGGTAGTGACAATAAATACTGATACAGGGCTCTTTTGGGTCTTGTAATTGGAATGAGTACAATTTAAACCTCTTAACGAGGAACAATTGGAGGGCAAGTCTGGTGCCAGCAGCCGCGGTAATTCCAGCTCCAATAGCGTATATTAAAGTTGTTGCAGTTAAAAAGCTCGTAGTTGAAACTTGGGCCTGGCTGGCGGGTCCGCCTCACCGCGTGCACTCGTCCGGCCGGGCCTTCCTTCTGAAGAACCTCATGCCCTTCACTGGGCGTGTTGGGGAATCAGGACTTTTACTTTGAAAAAATTAGAGTGTTCAAAGCAGGCCTTTGCTCGAATACG